CAGATTATTTTGAAATCTGGGACAAATTTTATTATTGGTGTGAATCAAGGGGGACTGTTCCGGTTATAAGCTAGTGTTAAGATAGGAATATATATAATTGTATGTTAGTATATAGAGAAATTAATTAGATATTGTATTGTATAGAAAAATATGTATGTATATATAGAGATTAAGAACTATATGTATGAAGAGGAACAAATTGTTAGAAATACGTCTACTGGAATGTTACGTTATATCCATTTTTGTTTTAACTGTATTATAAATAAAAAAATTAAAAAAAAACAATACAGGTAGTCCTCAACTTGCAACCATAATTAAGCCCAAAATTTTTGTTGTTAAGTGAGACATTTGTTAAGTGAGTTTGGCTCCATTTCACAACCTTTCTTGACACAGTTTGAGTGAGTCACCGCAGTTGTTCAATTAGTAATATGGTTGTGAAGTGAATCTGGTTTCCCTGTTGACTTTGCTTGTCAGAAGGTGATAAATGTGATCACATGACCCCAGGTCACTGCAAAAGTCATAAATACGAGTCAGTTGCCAAGCATCTGAATTTTGACCAGATGACCATGGGGATGCTGCAACATCTCCACAGTCACATGATCAAAATAAGTATGAAAAATGGTCATAAGTCATTTTTGTCAATGCTGTTGAAATTTTGAACAATCACTAAATGAACTGTTGTAAGTCGGGGATTACTAATTTGTCCTCTAATAATTAGAATACTAAACTAAAGTATATAGAGACTTACTGTAGATATAAGACCCTTTTCAGTCAGTAGTTTTTTGGGGCGGGATCCACTTATCCTCACCTTGACCCCGGATTAAGCAACATGGTCCTCTCCAGACATTTTGAAAAATATTATTATTATTATTATTATTATTATTATTATTATTATTATTATTATTATTATTATTATTATTATTATATATAAAATCAGTCATGGCTGATGGTGGTTGAATCTATTATCTAGAACATCTGACTACAGGTAGCCTATGTCTGCCTAATTTTATTTCCAGGCTTGCTATGAGAAAAACATTAGATTTTTTGCTGTTTTGAGCTTTTGGGACAAAGGGTGGGATGTGCTTATATTTAATAAATAATACAAGCTCTGCATACCAACTATGAATGGGCATGGCAGGAGTTCAGAACTCTTGGCTATTTATTGGGTTTCTTTATAATCCATTTCTTATTCTTTGAAGGCATAATCTTCCCATGATCTTAAACACAAAACATTAATTAAAATCAGATTACATATAAGCTATTTTAAATAAAAAATAAATTATAGACAATAAAAATTTCACAATGCCATTAAGCAACAAGGAGAGAGAGAGAGAACGGAAGGATTTTTAAAACCTGTTAAGAAGCAGCCACAAGAGAAATTAGCCATTTTATCTCTCAGAAAGGAATTCATAGGTCAGAGGCCAATTCGGAGAAATCTCTCAGTTGGTCTGTCCATTTTACTGATTTTGAGCAATAGTTACTTGAAAAGGTGGATAGTTTCTTTTCATTTTCAGTTACACTTAACGGTAAATGGAATTAGTACTGAAGCTGGACTGGGGTTAAATCTATTCCATGAACCCCTAAAGCAGAATAATGTGTGCATCTACCATCCATCTCCAAAGTATGATATGTTGTTTTGAAAGGAGAGATCTGGGGCCCTCCATTGGCAAAAGGCCTGATGAGAAAGGAAATGCAGAGACAGCACACCCGTCTTCTGAGAAGTTTTGGGGAAAACATTGCACATTACTCAGGAGAGTTCTTTGACTCTTGGCAGGCTCCTTGAACAGTTCTCTTTTAACTGTCCAGGCTTATCTTCCTTTTCAGAAGAGAGAGCACAGCCTCCTCCCAAGGAATGACGCAAAGCTTTGGCAGCAGGTTGGGACTGGGGTAATAAAAATACCAGCATTTGCCCACTTCCTACTGATGCATTGCCAGAGGTCACAAGAGAGAAAGAGAGATGTAAGAATATACAAACAGGGCTTTCGTTGCCTAAACATTTAAAATAGCTTTACAGGAAAGAACTCGGGTATTTTAATACATCATAAATTGAAGACAGGTCAGTGATGGTGATGAAAGAAAAGGCTGAGGGTGTCATGGGACAGATTCATATCCTGGACTGATGTTTGGACTGTAGACTTAAAGAAAGATCGAGATAAACTGGATGGGGAGGCTGCTAGAAAGGATTCTGAAGGCATCAAGGGCTGCAATTTGGTTGGGCCCTGTCACAGATTGGGCACAGTCAATCCCTTTAGACTCCATGGATATCTAATAATAGATCCCAGATATGCAATGTGATTCTTTCTTTCCCCATATTTACATGCTGATTCAATCAGAATAGAGCTGGAAGGGACCTTGGAGGTCTTCTAGTCCAGCCCCCTGCTCAAGCAATAGACCATATACCATTCCAGACAAGCAGCTATCCAGTCTCTTCTTGAAAGCCTCCAGTGATAGAGCACATACAACTTCTAAAGGCAAGCTGTTCCACTGTCCCACTGTTAGGAAGTCTCTCCTTAATTCCAGGTTGCTTCTCCCCTTGACTAGTTTCCATCCATTATTTTTTGTCTTGCTTTCTGGTGCTTTGGAAAATAAATTGATCCCCTCCTCACAGAGACCGTCTTTAACGTATTTAGATGAATCAAAATTGGTTTGCTTAGACTGTTTGGACTATATAACTGATCATATTGTATGAGGCAAATGCCAATATCTCCTGGGAAATCTCTAGGCAAATATATCAAGGTTTTAGTGAACTTGAAAGATAGAAGGGATACATTAGCCAAGGCAGGCTGAATTCTATTGCAGAAGCCATTTTACACCACCACCACACCACCACCCATGTAAACATGAGCTATATCTGAATTCAGGACTTCACTAAAATGGGTTGGTGTGATTGTCACTTTGTATTAATTAACAGATTTTTTTGGTTTTATTTTCTGGGGACTCCCTCAGATCCAAATTCATTTATTTGTATTAGACACTGCAGGCAATCTCTGCTGGCCATCAAAGGGCTTCTTGATGATGGTCCTCCATGTTAGTCTAATGCTTAGATGTTCATTTCCTAAAGGATGGAAATCTCCCCAGTTATATTCCAGGGAGGCAAGCAGTGCATAGTTTGGACTTTAGTGATCTGTGTCCTTGTGAACTCTGCCTGAAAAGATAAATTTCTTAGTGCTCTCCCAAGAGAACCATATCATTTAGGTAAATAAAACAGGAGATGTCTCATCCCACTAGATTCAAATAAATGAATGAAACATACTAGGTATGCCTATTCAAACATAAAACCTGACTTGCTCTATAATAAGTGACCAGAAGATTGCAGCTTATCAGTTTTCATCACACTCAGTGCCATGCTGGGCTTTATAGAGCTGAAGGGAGCAGAGGAACAGAACTTCTACGATTATTATTACTGCCATTTTTGGTTACCTTCCTCTTGTAAACAAGGAAATAACGTATATCGGTTTCAGAAGTGGTTTCATTTTGTCCCAGCTTGAAGGTCATGGCAGAGTACAGGGGACCATTTAGACGAAGATCTACAGCTCTATTAGCATTCCCCCTTCCCAATTTCTGCCTCTGGGTCTTTCCCACATCAGCTTTTTGGGGTGGTGTAAAAAAAAAAAAAAGCAGCCTCAGCCATTAGAAGAGCAACAGGACAGGAAAATCCTCTTCGGAAATTGGCATTACTTCTTCTGATTTCCAAGGGAACAATCTGCGGAATCACCTGCTTCCTAGGATGCCATCCTAGCGGCCATAAAATCACAGTAGAGCCTAAAAAAAAAGAATATAAGAATAGCATTCCAATTGACAAATATACAGTAACTGTTACCAGAGACCTGAAAGTATACTAAAGCACTACCCCAAAAACTGATTATGAGAATGAGAGAGCAGAGAGCCTCCAAAACTAGAGTGTTCGGTATTCTTCCTTAAAAGCTATCCAAATTGGTGGACATCACTATGAGACACAGAAGCAAATTCCACAGGTTAATGAAGCACTGAAAGAAGAATTCGTTTTTTTCTGTGCTGTCTCCTACATCTATCTTCACTGGAAGAGCCTGTATTGTTATACTATGAAAGCAGGGGTGGCGGGGGGGGGGGGGGGAATACACACACACACACACACACACACACACACAAAACACCTCTCTCTCTCTCTCTCTCTCTCTCTCTTACTTTTTTCCACATTATATATTATACAGAGATTAAATAACAAAAACAATACAAGTTCCAAGAAATGGCAAGCAAAGGAAAAAAAAGGAAATGAAGTAAAACAAGTTAAAATGGAGGAAGATATATAGCTCAGTGATGCAGCATCGAGATCCATTGATAACGGGAAAAGAATATGGCTAATTAAAAATTTTTAAAACAAAATAATTGTTGGTTTCACCAGTAGGAAACAGCATAAAGGGGTTGCTGGACTGTGTAAGAACAAATAACATACTGCCTCTTATTATGTGGTTGAGCCAGATATACACGTTTGGTAAAAACCTGGGGCGATATCTGCTCAGTCTTCAAATATGATGTGAGAAACGGTTGCAACAAAGGTTCTAAATTGTTCTAGACCAGGGGTCTTCAACCTTGGCCCTTTTATGACTTGTGACTTCAACTCCCAGAATTCCTCAGCCAGACACACTGAGTTGGGCTGAGAGTAATTAAGTCCAAGGCCTGAAAATGAGCTTAAATCCCCACTCCTAAGCCGATATTTCACCCTTACACCACCTTGAACATGCATGATACACCTCCATCAAATAAAACACAAGGCAAACTTGGCAGACTAAGGAAACTGAGATTCAAAAATCAAATAGTGAGATTTATTTTTTTTATTTATTTACTTACTTACTTGTTTATTTATTATTAAAATTGTTTGCCATCCATTTCACCACGAGATGACTCAGGGTGGCTTGCCATGCTAAAAAAAAGTAAAACAATACAAAATACATGTATATAATAAAAATAACACACTATAAAAATACAAATGATCAACTATAACTAAAACATGGAGAGGGAGGGAGGGAGTAGGATGAGCAGGGTGGTGGTGGTGAGAACTGTTTTAATCCATTAATCATCTCCAGTGAGATACCCCACCCATTGGAGCCCTAGGTCAACTGGCAGAGCCAGGTCTTCAAGCTCTTGCAAAAGGTCAGGAAGGTGGGAACTGACCTCACTGGGGGGTGGTGGTAAGGGGGACACAAGGCATTCCAAAGGGCAGGAGCAACAGCAGAGAAGGCTCTTCTCCTGGACCCCGTTAGCCGGAATTCCCTGGTCGACAGGGCCATAACATGCCTCCTCTGTTGGCATGCAGGGGGGAGGGGGGCAATCCCATTGGCATGAGATGGTCTATAGAAAACATTTGGCAAGAATTGGCTTTTGTAACAGCAGGGCTGTCCCTCCCAGCTGCTGTGAATTATGTGGCATCATGTTGGGCATGGCAGCATTAAATCATGGAGATAATTATGATTTTTCATGCCTTCTAACTACATCTGCAGTGTACATAATGCTGGTGTATGCTGAGTCGATCCCTAATATTGAAGCCCAGCAGTCAACTGTATCTATTTAAGCAAGAATATTGCTATGAGTGCCCCAGTTCCCCAAGCAGTGAGAAGTTCCAAGAGTAGTGCTTCCTTTGTAAGGAGAAATCTCTAGAGACTCTCCCCCCCCCCCGCCTCCCGTTCCACTTCCAATGTTTGGCTATATTTACAATTATACAACTTGACTCCACAGTTCAGCACTTTGATAAACCAACTGATTCATTGCTTTGCATCTGATCTCCAAAGAGATACCTTCTACCGCCAGACAATTTCATTTTTAAAATCCTGGTTCAATTCTCTCTTGTCCATGCCCAACTCTTATTTCTTTTTTTCTTTCATTTTGCATGCAGATAGTTTGCAAAATGCTAATTTTCCATGGACTATATTTATGATCATTCTGAGCTGGTTCTTCATAATTGCTGAAGACGTGACGAAGATGGATATGCTCTGATTTTCAAGGAATGTAACCTAATATTCTGATCCCTTTAAGAATCTTTCGCCCTAACCTCAGCATCTTTCACAGTAATCCTATGACAAATATACTTCATCCTGCAAGTAGTGAGTTCAAATGTTAAGTCAAAGGTTTGACATAAATGTTGGGAAATACTCTCTGAGCATGGCAGAATCCTGACTAGTGATTTGTATGGCAACTGTAATCCATCTACCTTTCTGCCTAACAGTATTGAGGACAGGCATTATATCATCACAATGGTGCCTGGATGATGTCAGACGATGCTGTAAGTCAGCAGTGGAGAAATGACCTTTGTGATCTATTTGCAGAGCAGAAATCTTTTTGGAAGGTGGTGTGGTCCACTTACTTGGGATTGATGGCTCTCCAAGATGCTCTAGCATCAGTAGGACATTAAATGTTAGAATTTATGTGATTCTAAATTTGCAGGTTAGAGAACTATTGAGATCTCCTTAAATATTATAATATATTTCAGGCTAATGCAAACTTTTCAAAATCTACCTATTTTCCTTCTTTCCTTCTTTCTTTCTTTCCTTCCTTCCTTCCTTCCTTCCATCCATCCATGGGCAAATCAGTAGTGCAAATGTTTGTCTCCTTTAGTCTAACAGTACTATATATCATAACTATTTTCACTCTCAGTCATGAGTTGGCTGTCTATACACATCATAATGAGGCTCCATATCTAATGCTAAGTCATAAACTATGGTTTGCAGATTTCAGTGGCTGGATTCATGCAATATATTAAATCACAATTTTACCAGCCTATAGCTTAACAGTATATGAAATTAAGTGGCTTTTAAGGAACAAAAGAGGGCTTGAGCTTTTTTTTCTTGCTGTACTCTTAGAATCAAATTACCTATGGGAGGTAATGTGGTATGTTCTACTTTCATGATCTAGATTTAAATCTACCCAATTCACAAAGTTTACTAGATAGCTTCGTTCCCCCCCCCCCAATTTTCTCTCATCTTCATTCTCTAGCCTACCTCTGTGAGTTTTGTTGAAAATAAAATGTTAATGGGAGAGCTGCATATAAGCTTGTTTCCTCCTTGGAGGAAAGGCAGGATATCATGGTAATAAATATATGATACTCAATCACATAGATATTTTTTCTGAGATTAAAACAAAAACCTAACGCAGCTGGAGGAAACTGTAGTCTAGAGCTAGAGTTTACAAAGAGAGACACTTATCTTTTTTTTTCCCCCTATTGGATCATTTTAGTGATCAAACTCGCCCCAAGAAAAATCAAGCAAGATGCAGTTGCTCCTTGCTGTATACAGTGCTGGTTTTATAAATGCAGTCAATTAAATGCATGAACCTCCCCCTAGATTGGACTGTTTGTCCACCTAGCCCATTATGGCTTACTCTCGTCAGCACCAGCTCTCTAGGATATTAGATCTTCCTCGTCACCTTTTCTCTGCTCCTTCAAAATGGAAAGGCCACCTGGGCCTTTTTTTTTGGTCTACAAATCTTGCCGTTCTCTGCTTGACCTGATTCCCTTCTGGCCCTTGATTCTACCAATTTGGGGAGGGGGTTGCAAACAAATGGGTCTGCATTCCATTTACAATGCTCCTACAGAGCTCCTATAGAAGCTTCTCGGCACTGCTCATGTGTCAGCCAGGATGAATCAGGTTCGAGCCAAGTTCACCCCGGACAAGCAAATCATCTCCACATGGGACAGACAGGAGGGAAGGAGGCTTCTTGGCAGCAGAGGGCCGCCATTCAGGTCCTTCGTGACAGCTCCTCGCCATCCCCCGCTTTTGCCTGCTCTTCCATAAAACCAGACTTCAAAGCCAAACAAGGGTGTCCAGGATGGAGGAGCCGTAAGGGCTTTATCATAGGGCCAGGCAGGCACGTTTCCTCCCTTTATGAATGAGGATTTACAGGGCAGGTGCCCGAAGTCAGTGGCCAGGTTTGCTGGGGGGGAGGAGAGGAGAGCAGGCCAAGGATTGGGGGAGTGGGAATGCTTGAGGGGGGGAACCCACCAAAAAAAAACCTTGGAACTGCAGGACCTGAGCACAACATCCATCTTCTTCTTAACATTTCATCTTTACAGCAACAGGCTTTTCCTTCCCCCGCAGCCAGCTGCAGCTGTCAACTTATCTATCTCCCCCCCCCCACAAAAAAACAACTTGTAAAGAAGGCTTTTAGCAAAAAGGTACTGGTTTTGGAGGGGTTTATTCAAGGAGTGAGGTTTATTGGTTAAGGAAGTGGTCAGTAAGAAAGCAAATATTTTTTGGGGATGGAAACATACATTCAATTCTTCCGCTGATTTCTTCAACTAGAGTTAATAAAAAAAAAAGACCTTTCTGGAAACACTGGAGAACCCCCGCTGGTCAATATACAGCAATCTTTGGTCAATCTTCTCAGATGCATTGGACTAAAGTGCCCTTAAACCCAATAGTAAGCCAGGAAGACTGAGAGGTCTAGTTGGAAGATATCTGGAAGTCCTCAGGTTAGGGAAGCTGGTTCAGATAATTCTGAACTATAATCTTGTATCCTAGCCTAACTATAATCTATAATCTCTCTGGATTTGAAATGGATGCTCAAAATTAGAACCAACATTAAAAAGACACAACAAAAGATGTTCTTCCTGAATGAACTTAGGAAGTTCAAATTGCCCCCAATAGCTGCTTTGTTGCTTTGTTGCTTTGCATGTACACTGAGAGCTTTTTCACTCCTTGTTTGTCAAATCAATTATTCTACTCTACTCTATTCTACTCTACTGTACTTTGCTCTACTCTACTCTGCTCTACTCTATTCTCTGTTGTTTGTATTTCTATAACTGTCTGATTTGGTATAGCAACCAAACAGGTCAGGTACAGACTCCAACAGATAGTTAAGATTGCAGAAAGAATAATTGCAACTACCGTAGCTTGCCTTCCATAGCAGACCTGTATATTGTATGGGTCAGGAGGGCTAAGATATCTACAGATCCCTCACATCATGGACATAAACTGCTTCAATTCCTTCCCTCAGGTTCTAGGGCATTGTATGTCAAAACAACTAGATACAGGGACAGTTTTTTTCCTTGTTCCATCACTCTGCTGAACAACTAATTCTCTCAGTACTGCCTAATGCCTATTAACTCTTGTAGTGTGACTGTAGTATTATTATTTATCCTTCTTATTATCTTCTTTACTCCCCCCTTTTCCCCTTTTATTGGGATGGTGATGATAACGATGATGTTTTGCATGTGTACTGAGTGCTTCTGTACCAGAGACAAAATTCCTTGTGTGTCTAATCAACTTGGCTAAATAAAGTATTCAATTCAATTTAACGATCTAAAGCACTTACAAAGCAGTATTCTATGTCTTGAACTAAGCTAACTAGAAGGAAAAAAGGAATAAAACTTTTTATGTTCTTTAAATTTCTGCAGAATAGTATAATTTCATCACCAGCATCATTTTTACACCAGTGCAAAAGCTGCATCAGTCCAAATCCTCTTTTCCACTGGATAGAACTTGTAGCACCTTCAGAGTTAATCCATTTATTATGGCAATTTTCTCCAACAAAGGAGTTTCAGAAAGAGACTCCAAGACTATAATAGCTCAATTAGAGTTAATAATTAAATTTGGCTCTGTTAGTTTGGACTTGAATGAAAACAATAGCCTCTTGTCTGACACTAACTAATTACTGCCATTGCGAATGCTCATTGTGCATGTAAATTGTAATAGGATGCTTTGCTATTCCCAGTGTGCATCTTTACATTTATTCTATGCGCTCTGGGTATACATGCAGTAGTATATATTGTACCAATTTTTCTACTGCAAAACAGGCTTTCTACTTCAATCTCTGCTTTATTCTCAAAATGCTTAAAAATTCTTTAATTTTTTTCTGGTGTATTCTATTGTCGTTGGGGAGCAGTAATGTTACTAGCCTAGCTTCCCATGGTTCCTGATCTGAAAAAGGCTC